ATTCAGAGCTGAATACTTAGGACAACTTAAAAATTCTAAGAAATCTGGTAAAATCAAGGAACAAGTAAAATTAAGAGAAATAGTTTTAGTTGGAAATGAAAACAGTAAACGGATTCATTGGCAGCAAAAATAATTAAGCTGCATCCAGGGAAGGATGGACATGTTCATGTTGTTCAAGAACAAGGAACGGTGACATAGTAAGACTCGTGCAGAATATTTATCCTTTCGAAATGGGTGAGCAAGCAAACGAAATGATGGTTTTGCAGTCTATTCCAGATGGAAAAGTCAAAGCAGACCTGAAATCTCCACCAGTTATTTCCAGAAGTGGGCGAATAATACATAAGCCAAAGAGACTTGTTCTGTGATCTTGAGTACAATTCCATCACACTCAAGGTAGGGAGATTGTTACGAAACCATTAGCTGATAGACAGAGGGTGCTGACTAACAGCACTCGAGCAATGCAGATGTTTTTGAAATGAAAATAAACAGTTGAGAACTGAGTAACGGAAAAAATTGTCCTATTTGAAAACAAATGAGGAACTGTAACAAATTTTTGGTGATGTATATGTTGTGTAAAAAGACAATAATAAAGTTTGTTCTAATAGCTTCACATTATTGGATTTGTGAAGATCTACCTGGCAGTCAGACTGAACGTAAGTACAAAGTAAATTGGATTTATTAATTTGATATTTTGTATTTTTATGTAATGTAACAAGTGTAGCAATTAATAAACTACTACATTATTTCAATATTCTGCTTGGCCAATATAAACCACTTAGAATTTTAAAAAAAGTGACCATTGAGCTTGCGGGATTCTACTGAAGAGAAAAAGAGATAAATAATGGTAAAAATTTTTGAAGTAAAAAATTCTCAAATGCATTAAAAAAAAAAAAAACTTTGTACATATATGCAATAAAAGCTAATTTCAGAGAAGTATTGATGTAGGAATGGTGAGTCACAGAAGTGTAAAAATGCTGATTGCGAAGATACTTGATGCTTAGAACGTAGAATTCGTAAAGACTAGGAAACTTAGCAGTCAAGGTGGTTTTAATTCCATTTTTTTCCCCCCCAACTGACATTTGTGACCACAATCACTTGACACTCTAGTCATGTCTATTCAAGAACATTACATTTTTGATATTGTTGGGATAGGAAGTGAGCATAGCGAAATTACGTCCTAGCAGCATAGAGAGAGTAGTTAAAGTGTGTAGTTATCCATATGGCAGGCTGTTTAGAGAAGAGTTTTGATTTAAGTTCTCAAAGTTTAGGTTCCCAATTACTACATTATCAACATTATGCAAACTTCATAGTACAGATTAATCCAGAAATGACGCAGTCTAGAAACATAATTATTATTTTCAGAATGAAGACGGGAGTTAAAGAGCTATTATTAATTTATTATTTGATAGATATTTTATATTTTACATATCCCCCCCTTGAAGAAGAAAATAAGTTGGTGAAAGAAAGGCCTTTTTTTAGAGAGAAGTGTTAAAGCAGTAGCCAATGAATGTAAATCATAAAAGTCTGACCAACATAATTAAACAACTATGAAGTATAAATTTTGAATATTAATTTTTAAAAATAAATTTAAATTTCAAAATCCTATTAAATTTTCAGTATTGCAGTCCAAAAGTTTTTTTCATAATTCTTCGGGGAAGGTTCTTGTCATCACAGAGTATCACAAATAAAAACTTTCTATTATACAGTACAAAGTCCGAAATCTGGACTCGTCGGGACTCAGCAATTCCAGATTTGGGATTTTTCCGGATAATAGATAAATAAAATTAAAAAAATATGAAATCATGATTTATGAAATAATGAAGTATTTATGATCTAAAGAGTATCAAAATTTACCAAAAAAAAAAAAAAAAAAAAAAAAGCTTAATATTTGTTTACCTTATTAAACATTTCTTTCAATGCAAGTTGTTTTGTTTTTTGTGCTAATACTTTCTCTTTAATTCTGTAGACAGACATAATCTCTTGTTTAGTTACATTGAAGTCCTGTAACTGCTATTTCGAGAATTCCGACTAACTTGGCAATAGAAAGTTTCTCGTTTTCAGTAACTTCTCTGTCACTTTCTTAACCATCGGTAGTGGTTTTTTCTGGATCTAGAACCATACTAGAGATTTTGCATTCATTAATTGATTGATGATTGAGAAGCACTGTCATCACAATGAAAAACTCTTTTATATAATCTTCATTTATTACCACTTCTCCACATATCTTTATAAAATCCATGGTAATTGGAAAATTTCGCCTTTGTTTTGCGATATATGAAAACCTTTAAAATTAGCAGGCTATCATCATCAAAATTTAGCTATTCCTTCACTATACATATTTGGCTTATGCATCATGAACTTGGTGACTGAACGACAAGTTGTTCCATTAAATTTTATCTTGCTTCTATCACGCACTGAGACAATTAAGCCTGAACTTGTATTAGTTTAGTTATGTATTATGTTTATGTTTATTTCTTGCTTATGCTTAAGGCTTATCAGAGTTCTGAATTAAATAAATTCCACCATATACTTAAGCCTTTATTGAGAGCAGGCGCTAGGTAACTTACTGCCTGATGCAGTCTTCTGTGGGTTCCTAAAATTCTCTGACTCGATGTGGCCACACCTAGTCCTGGAGCTGGTTCTGTGTTTATGTGAATAACAAATCAGTTATTCTTAATTCAAATAGCCCTAAATGTAATCTTTGAGTCTATAAGTATCATCAACAAAATCTATTTTTAGCATATGGAAAGAAAGTTTTGGTAAATTATTCCTCGTCAACATTTTTTAGCACATTTAACTTAAATAAATTTGTAATCATCGCCAGGCGTAATGTCAACATAAAAGGTTATATACTCCTTTATTATTCAATTACTAACATAAAAAAATTGTTTAGGTAGCACTACATGAGTCAGTCATTACTCAATTTGTCATGTTTTGATAAGTATGCGGTGATGAAAGGAAAGTATAATAAATAATGATTTGCCGGGTTAGCGTCAGATCAATGATGTACCTATGTGGAATGATTGGATTTAAGACGTATGCCAAGCACATACGCAGCAAGAGCCAAATTACTGATCGTACAAATTTAAGCTAAAAAACAAGGTATTTTATTTAGTGTCGAAGTGAAATTAAGAATCGGGACTCTTCAGATGTTTTTATTATGTGTGGAGGGGACAATCAAATGCACATGCGTGAAGCCTATGAGAAAACGTTGTTGGTTGTTTCGAGGTCCGGATTTTAGATCATTCTGGATAATGGACGTCCAGATTATGGACTTTGTACTGTATTATTATGTTATTGCATTACATTTGCAATCAGAAGAATTTATTCAATTACTCACAATCCGTCTGTGTTGCAATTTCAAGTTTTCATAATAAATCAAGAACTCATTTCATTTCTGTGTTAAGAACTATGGAACTATTTTGTCAAAAACTTTTCATTGTACATTTTTCTACTATTTTGAAAACAGAGGTTAAGAACTTTCAAAATAAATTTTTGTCAATTTATTGTCATTTACTTTTACTTAGAAATTATATTTTGTTGTAATATTTTTAAATTAGATTTTTAAGTACTTTCTAATTTACATGTGAGAGAACTCAATAATGATAGAGCATAGTGAAATGTACAGGGTACCACATATATGTAGCACACGAATCACTGAATCACGTACAGCACATGAATCACTGAAAATCTCTCATTTACTTATATCCCCTACATAAACCAGCATAATTAGTAACTTTGTTTCAATATTTTTTGTAAAAATAGACGTAATTTGCAAATTTTCTTAATTCTGCACACAAGTATAGTAGAATTTCATTTATAGATACTCCCAGTGTTTAAAATTCATTTCTTTAATTGCTTGGTTTTCTTTTTAATCAAAATAAAATTAATCTTATTATTAATTTATTTTTGTTTCCTTTAAACATTTCTCTAATTTAAGCAATTCAAACAGTATATTAAGAAGATTTGTATTATATAGTTGATTTTATATTTTTACATAAATGGAAAAAATAATTTTTGCTTAATTTTAGTAGTATACATAAATGTTATACTGCATAGTTAAAATAAAAACAAGTTTAGTTTTGGACCTTCACAGATAAATATTAATTTAGCTGCTACAATATAACTGCTATATGTTAGGGAAAAAGGGCAAATACAGTCAAAAGTCTTTAATCCGGATTCGTCGGGACTTCGGCGATTCCGGATTATCAGTTTTTTCTGGATTATAGAGCATCAGTTTAAATCTGGTAAGATGGCATGCAGAAATTATAAAATTAAAAATATGATACCGTAATTTATGAAATAAAGAGCAATTATGATTAAAAGGGTATCAAAATAAAAAAGCTTAATATTTATTTTTTACTTTATTAAACATTTCATTAAACATGCGTAATGCATACATTACGCATAGTCGAAATTAGAAAACTGCAACCAGAAAACTATTTGATGTGCATTCGTGATATTTATAATGGCAAGGAATTTGATTTAAATCGTATCAAAGACGGAGTACATCGAGATGAAATACTTACAACATTTAGTAAGGAATTATAAGCAGAATAAAATAAAATCATCTGCTCTGAAGATAAGGTTAGTGCTGACAGATCAACTTCAAGTTCATTGAGCACCGCGTTAACGCATGCTTAGAAAGTTTGTAGCTTTGAGGTCCGGATTATGGACGTCCGGATTAAAGACTTCGACTGTAACAACAATTTTTAAAAAATTACAAAATAAAAAATATAATTATGAATAAAAATATTTTTAGAAATCTAATCTGCGTCAAATTAAAACATTAAAAAATTAATAAAATTTAATTTTTTTAAAAAAATTCACTCACTCTGCATTAAATTTGCATTTGACCTACACAAAAAGAGAATCTAATTATTTGAATTTTTTTAATACCCAAATAGGTTTTAATCTCAGCTCAGATATTTACAGTTCTGAGATATGCATAAAATATTTTTTAAAAATTGAAATGTACATTACAAGAAGTAATATGTTACCTCTTCAGCTTCAACCTTTGCTTCTTCTTCAGTATGAGATACATTTATCAGTTCCCGATAACGCATATATTGCATGCTATGGCATGCTGCACAAACTTGTTTGTATACTTCATAGCCGCGCCTTATACTGCAAGTACAGAATAATCATTTAAGAATACAACTGTGTTTACATAAAAAAGAAACTTAACATTAAGTGATTAAAATCTATTTTACATAACAAACAAAAAAATCCTGCATTTCATTATAATAATTAATATGCAACTGCAACTCCATATCAGTTTTCTTGTAAATAATTAAATGTTTAACTGTTACTTGCCCATTATGGAATATCATATATAAGCAATAATTAGGAATGATATAATCTGTCCACCATGAGAAGAGAAGCAAAAAACTCATAAAAGGTTGAAAACAAGTGAATTCAAATTACATTATTATGGAGTATGCATTATCAATCCCTCTTTAAAGTAAGATGCCGAGATCATTTGACACCAAGTAATGTAAGAGGGACTAAGTCTCTTCTCATGGTAGACAGACTTTATCTGTTTCCTCTCACAATTGTTTTTATAAATGGCAGTCATTTTGAGAAACACTGCATAGTGTTCATATTTAAACACTGCAAAGCGTTAATACTTAAAAAAGACTATTACATTTCTGAACAGTATATTTATAGTTTACCTTCATAATAGTGTCTGTACACATACATTTCTGTACAGAAATTAATTACATAAATAAGTTAAGGACCTATCAGCTAATAGAAATTGAATAAACTAAAGCAGTTATCTGCATATGAACTTCATTTTTATAACACTATTCTAAGAAAAAAAATCTGTAAATATGATGCATTATTATTATTAAACTTAATCTAGTATTCAATGTAACTGTACAACAAATTCAACAATAAAATAAATTTTTTCAATTAGCATTAAATTATAAAATTTCTTGTAACATTTATATTTTACACTTACAATATTCCCACATATTTTAAAGAAGATAAACAAATTTTTATTGTAAGTTTTATTAACAGTTAGCTTTATATTGATTCTTCCTTATGTTTTCATTTCATCATATACTCAATTAGCCCACAGGTTTAGGCAGATTTTAAGTCAAGTAACATAGCTTAAATTGAGAATATAATAATAATTAGCATGATTCATAACAGAAACTTAGTTGTTGCCACTATGCTCGCTAAAGGCTTGGCGATAAGATGTGCTGATCAGAAGAGATATGAATGCCTGATGTTGGCAAGGTTGGTTGGTAAATGTTAAGAGTTAGTTGCACTTTGTTTACCTGACCCATTTAGTGCCATAGCTTCAGGTAAATTTGTTTAGTTAATATACAGTATTTAATATAATAAAATTCTAATAAGCTGCTAAAGCACCAGAGGTGATAAGTTGTCTTGAATTATTTTAAGTTTAATTTGCTGTAAGGAGTAAAGTTGTATTTTTTTTTTTTTTTTTTTTTAAATTTCCAATGGCAGATTACGAACAGTTACAGCAAAAAACAAGAACAAAGAACATAGACTATAGCAACACAAGGAAGGAGAAACAGGTGTAGCAGAGTCCATTAATCTAACATATCTCTTGCCTTCCAGTAACGCTTGGCGAGAAAAGTCTTGCACAGAGCAGTACAGTGGGGTAGATGTGCGGCATCAATCACCTCTCCAAAGCTGCACAGAGTGCATATCGGAGAAGGAACAATTTTGAATCTATGAAGATGATAATGTAGGCAGTCATGTCCGGCCCAAGGCGTTTGACTTCCGGAGTACCTTCGCAACTTAATGCAATTACCTCCACAACTTCGATAAGGAAAACTGAGTTGAATAAGAACAAGCAATGGCTAAAGAAAAATGAACAAACCGTTAAGGGTTTACTATGAAAGAAATGAATAAGGAGTCCGCGCAAGGGACGAGTAATTCTCTCTGCTTTCAACTTGTAATCCAAGATTGAAAGAGAGAGAGGTGTTGATTGAGGCGAATTCCAGAACGCATTGCATTAATGGAATCGGAAAGGTTGGAAGAGAACAGCCGGGAAACATGTTGTTCCAGGGCTTGGGAAAGGTAATATTAGGTAATACGGACAGCCGCAGTGATGGCTGATGCCTTGGGGATGAACGGGGGGGGGGAAGAGTCTTGCGACTAAACTGGAATCCAGGGAAGAAGGAGCGAAGAGGCATGGAGGTGAGGTAGGAAAGGAACTTCCTACCTCCATGCGAAGAGGAGGGAGGGGATAGCCTATTCAGGAAGGCGAAAAGTTCTCCGACCGCCCGTGGCGAGTAGAGAATGGGAGCAACTTTTCGAGCGGAAGAGAACCGTGAAGAAAGTTAACTGCGAAAAAGACGGAGAAATTTTTAGAAGAGGATTTAAAGGGACTGGTATTGAGCAAAAGTGGCTTATGAAGCAGGAAAACAAGGAAGGAATTAAAGGGGGAGAATTAATTATAAGGGCAGGATTAATTTAATTTTAGGAGTAAGGGTCGTGAAGTGATGAAATGCAAGCTTGTAATACCTGTGGAGAAAATTAAGGAATTGGAACATTTTTAAACGTAAATGGTAATTCTGTGCAGGATAAAATTATGATTAAATTATTTTCAATCTGAATTAATTTAAGTCTCAAAATTTAACGAAATTTTACTAGAAGTTAAATAAAGTAGCTGTGAAGTTAATTTAATATTGCTTATTTTTAAAGTTAACTTTAATGCTATAAGTCTGGTCCGTGAAAAATGAAAAGGTGAGGTCCTGATAAATGGGGGGAGGTCATATGTTTAGTGGTACAGGTGTAGGTCGCGATGAACGAGGCCAGATTAGATCCGGCGGGCAGTGATGTAAAAGGGAGAGTTAGTTAAGGGTCGCCGGGTTAGGCCCGTGAAGTGCTGGTTAAAGTTTAAAGTTTAAGATTAGAAAGAATTCCTAGTCAAGCAAGCACCTCCGCTTTGGCTTCCTAGGAAAGATGTTAAATGTTCTATCAAGAACGCTCTTAGGTCGCTTAGCAGAGCTGGGCTCTGCTGGATTATAGGCAGGAAGTGAATGCAAGACTGGGTTTTCAATCTGAGAAAGTCTATTGAAAAACTTGGCCGAATTTTGCCGAAAAAAGGCATCTAGGGGTAAAATTTTGAGATCGTTATGGAGCACTTCATTCCGGACGAAATAATGAGCATTGGTGAGTATGCGAAGCGTGACGCTCTGGAATACTTGGAGTTTCTTTAGGTGGCTGTTGGCTGCGGTTGACCAGATGATAGCTGCATAGGTGAGGATGGGAAGGATGGTACTGCGATAAAGGAGGATCTTGTTGCTGAGAGAGAGGTTGCTGGTTCGGTTGATAAGTGACATTAGTTGGGTTCTGACAGTTTCTTGCTTTGGCTATTGTATAGTTGATATGGGTACTCCAGAGCAGCTTCGCATCTAGATAAACTCCCAGATATTTATAGGAATCCACCCAGGATATGTATCTCCTCTTCAAATAACCTGAGTGGTTGGAGTTGACTATGGACGTTCCTCTTTCTGGAAAAGAAAACGGTGGCGGCACTTTTTGCGACGTTAATTTTGATTTTCCAGGTAATGAGCCAGGACTCCAAGTCTGTTAAATAAAGTTGAAGGTGATTGAGAGTGGCGTTAAGTGTTGGCTGCTGAGAAATGATGGCTGTGTCGTCCGCACAAAGGGCTAGATCGACACTTGGTGATTGTGGTATGTCATTTACATACAAGTTGAAGAGCGTAGCGCTAAGAATTCCTCCCTGAGGCACCCCCGCCAGGATAGGCCGAGGAGAAGAAACAGAATATTTAACTTTGACAGAAAAGGTACGATTATTGAGGTAAGAGTGCATTATGTGCACGAAATTAGCCGAAATTTCAAGTCGCATGAGCTTGAATAAAATTCCGATATGCCAACACCTGTCGAAAGCCTTTGCTACGTCTAAATAGACTATAGTTGTAGGCTTTCCACTGCGAGATCCTGTGTGAATGATTTCTACTACCCTCAGTAGCTGGGTCTGAGTTGAGTGTTTTGCGCGAAAACCGAATTGTTGAGGAATAATAATATTTCGGTTTCGGCAGAAATCATTCAGGTATCTAAGCAGTATAGCTTCGTAGATTTTACTAAGTGAAGACAGGAGGCTGATCGGTCTGTAATTTTGAGGGACTTTGGGTCCATACCAGGTTTTAGAATAGGAATGACTAAAGCATTCTTCCAGCTATTAGGATAATATTTTAACCTTAGCATTGAGTTAATCAAAACTGCTAGGTAAAATATGAATTTAATAGGCAAATTTTTAATCATGCGATTAGAAATCCTATCAAGGCCAGGTGCTTTTGCAGGGGTGAGATTTTTGACAATTGCAGAAATCTCAGTCATGGTTGTGGTAATGGGTTCCTCAGAATGTGTATCTGAGGAGAGAAATTCTTCAACTTGGTGTTGGACTTCATGCGTGTGCGTTGCACAAGAATCGAACATGTCTGGTGGCAAGACGGAATTCAGCGACTGCTCTACGCCTTAAATCATTACATAAATTTGGGATAGCATTCTTACAACACTTAGGAGAAACACGATGATAGAGATCTTCCTGAGCACGTACTTTGAAAGTAGAGCTGTATGTTAATTTTTATATTTTTGTGTTGTATCTTGCATACATGCAAAGATTAAGGGAAGGCAATAACTTACCTTAACATATAGAGATAACTTCCAAGGGCAAGCAGTTAGTTACAATGAATTAAATTATGTAGTTTGATATTCGTAATCATTACATATTTACATGGTTATTATTAATTATTTTTCATAATAATTATTTTCTAAAAAATACCTGTTAAAAAAGCACTAAATCACAATCTAAGTAGATTTTATGACATGTATAATTTATGATAGTCATTCTAAAATAATATAAGGATAATTATACATTAAAGACTACAAAACACGTATGTTTTTAGTGAAAACACATAATAAAATATTTATGCGTCTTTTTAATTTGAAACCTTTCCAGATACTTTAGCTAATTTACATCAATTTCCTTCTCTTTAGTATCATTTCATCATTTTCAACGAACAAATCAATGTTCTCACTAGACTCTGCTTCATCTCCTAATTTGTTAATGTTTCAAAAATATACCTTTGAAGAGTAATTTTCTTCCTCTCTGTGTAATT